TGTAAAAAAAAACCCAATAAGGATAAGAATTAAGTGAAACTTAGTGTTAGTAGATTTAATCAGAATAGAAAGCGATTTTAAATATAGTGTGAATTAAATATAGTGTGAAGAGAGATCAAGAGAAATGGAGGGAATAAATTGGAGCTGTCTGTACAAGTGCATGCACTGTGATTGTTGCAATAGATAGTTAAAACAATGCACTCTCAGTGCAAGAAGTTAAATTTTAATGCTTAATTGCGTTTCAGATACTTCTTTAAAATATCATCTATAAAGATAGAAAATTTTATCATTAAAACATTTTAGTTATTATACCTGCTTTTTTAAAAAAATGAAATATTGATACAAAGTTATGCAGGCTTCCAATCCATTCAATGTTAGCCTAAGCTGTTCATGGTTACACCAATTCCTTTGATTCAGATTATAAAGAATTTATTTAGTTTTCTAATATATCTTTCTAAACAATTGTGACCTCTGGTGGATATACTGAAATGAACATCTGCAATGATAATCAAAGTTAAGTGTGAAAAAGTATTATTGTTCAAGCTATTTCTAAAATGTCATTTTAAAATAAATTCTAATACAACTGTAATTACTGAATTATTAATTTTTCAATTACAGACTTGTACAAATTTCAGGAATTTTCAATCTGGACATTCTAGCATTACCGTCTCACATACACTGATATAAGGAAGAATTGGAAATGTAGCCTGTTGTATATTAGTCATAATGATATACAGCAGGGGTGAAATGTAAAATTTGTTACTATCAGTTCTGTGGGCGTGGCTTGGTGGGGAAGTAATGTGACTGGGTGAGCATGGCAAACTTTTTTTAAAAAAACTTTTCAAAGCATTTTTTTCTGCAACCTCTTTGGCCGAAGAAGTGGTAAAAAAAATGCTTTGAAAAGCCTCTCTGACGATCAGGCAACTCAGCTGGGATCGTCAGAGAGGCTTTTCAAAGCATTTCTTTTTACCATCTCTTCGGCTGAAGAGGTTGCAGAAAAAATGCTTTGAAAAGCCTCTTGACGATCCCAGCTGAGCTGCGCGCTCATCAGAGGCTTTTTTTTTTTACTTTTAAAAGTATTTTTTCAGCAGAAGAGGTTGTAGAAAAAATGCTTTTAAAAGTAAAAAAAAAGAAGCCTCTGATGATCGTGTGGCTCAGCTGGGCATGGTGGGGGGTGGGTGCAGGGATTTTTGCTACCAGTTCTCCAAACCACCCACTGCCATCGCTACCGGATCGGCCGATCCAGTCCGAACCGGGAGCATTTCACCCCTGATATACAGTATCATTTAGGCACAAACTTAACTCTTTTAGCAGTGGAAAGACATTAGACATTCTTTATTATTATTAAGAAACTTAGTTCCATCAATATTCAAAATATTCAATATTCAAATATTCCATCAATTCAAATATACCAAAGTGAAGTGTTTAAAAATACATGATAAACCATATCTCTAATCCAGATTAGCAGAAATATTGCATTTTCAGTCTTAGAATTGTGGTCTATCAAAGTATAATATAATGATATAAAATGCCTAGAGCCTTTAAAAATTGGTCCTGTCTAAATTTACACCAAATTAGTTCCAGGTTAGTTTATAAGAGGTAGCCATTAAGTAGAAATGTTTTTCAGACAACGAATAATACATTCAGTCTGTCATTGTTTAATTATACTAATTTTTCTTTTGCTCCACTGTCTTGCTTGGAAAATTGCTTGGAGATCTATTTTGTAGATTTGTATATGACACTATTTAAATAAGGTAATTAAATCTATATTGTCCTGTATTAATTGCGCTAGAATTATGCCACTATTTAGTATGAGGTTGCAGAAACTCGGGTTTGAGAGCTAAAATACACTGCTCAAAAAAATAAAGGGATCACAAGCTGAAGACATCCGAGATCTGAATCAATGAAATAGCTTTATTAAATACTTTGTTTGTTACATACAGTAGTTTTGTGTTCCCTTTAGTTGTTTGAGCAGTGTATAAACTATCATATCAACATTCTATAATAGAACTCAGGTGTCAAATACTGCGTATTCCCTTATATGTTTGCCTAACAGACTTATCAAAGTAGTATGGCATGTTAAAATTGTAATTTGTAAAATAACTCAGATATCTTCAGATTTACAAGCTGTGATATGTGCTTTTCCTAATTCTCTTCTTTTGGCTAGGATTTCGTGATATGTGTACAGATGTATAATCCCCTTATACCTTAAAGTCCTGGTTCAGGGATACAAATTTAATAAGATTATAATTGTTTATAAAAGTGTGATGACACATTATCAGCAGTAAAAGCAGTTGCTACTCTGTCAGGCCTGGAAGCCATCTTTTGCATTGGATCTTCAGGCACATTTATTGCTGTGGGAAATTGGGAGGGGGGATAGTATGAAGCAAGGGTGAAATATAGTCATAATAATATTTACGGGACCGCCTACTACCACCAATAGCCTCCCACCGGCCAGTACGCTCTCATAGAGAGGGACTCCTCCGGATGCCGTCAGCCAAACAGTGTCGACTGGCGGCCCCTAGGGGGAGAGCCTTCTCTGTGGGGGCACCTACCATCTGGAATGAGCTCCCCCCGGAGATACGGAGGATCCCGGATCTGCGCTCCTTCCGCCGTGCTGTGAAGACCTTTTTATTCCATCAAGCGGGCTTGGCCTGATCTCTTCCCTTTTTAAATATGTAAATTTTAATCTGTTTTTAAATTATTGGGGTATTTTAATTTGTCTGGGCCAAAAAGTTTAATTTGATTTTATCGGGTTTTTAAATTTTGTGTATTTATGTATTTTATTGTTGGCTGTTCACCGCCCTGAGTCCTTCGGGAGTAGGGCGGTATACAAATCAAATAAATAAAATAAAATAAATAAAATAAATAATAATTCCTTTCTCAGAGAGCCAGGGACATCTTGCCCTGCACCTGGAGGGGTGTGGCTGGGAGGCATTTCCAGTTGGGACGGTGCTTTTATTGGACCATGTAATGAACTTGTGGGTGTGCTGGGCAGGAACTTAGACTTTCCTTTGGTGAGGAAAACCTGGAAACTTTTAGGTTCAGGTTTTCCCGGATGAGCCAATATGACATGTCTAATAAAATGGAACTTTGAGGAACTTCAAGCATCAGTGTCTCTTTTTGTTGGGGGTATTACTTGGAACCCTGACATACTGTATGTAATGGTATAAGTGTATCTCCAATGTATTGAACCCTATGTATGTATGTATGTATGTATGTATGTATGTATGTGTGTGTGTATGTGTGTGTGTGTATGCATGCGCGCACACCTGTTGAAATAAGGAGCTGTCCAGAATATTGGACGATGAAAACTAGCATTTATATTTCCTGTAAGTGTAAAGAGCACATAAATGCTCAATGTAGATGTCGACTTTTACATTCTGATAATTCATTGTCATTAATTAATTAATATTGCGACAATTTGCAGTCTTATTTATTGCTGGGAATGAACCTGCATACCACCATTATTACCGCACTCTTCATTCAAAGGCCAGAAAGAGGACAGAATACCTAGATCAGATTAGGGTTAGCTGTAGGAATAATGATTTATTATGATGTTTTGTTTTCTTTGTTTCTATTTTCATTTTTGTATTTTATATATTTAATATGGTCAATTGACTCTAAAGTTTTCTTCTAAAATTTAATATTGCGTGAAATAAATTTTAGAAATGAATAAGTAATGTATAAGTTTTAAGCAGATATAATTTTTTAAACTAAGCATATTAATAAATATTCTTATTGTGTATATTTGCCTTGGTATTTCTATAAATAAATATTTTGAAGATTTTTCCTGTTGATTAATAAGATAATTTGTAAAATTTAACAAAGTAGCAAGAAATATTATGGAAAAAAAACACATTTTCAAACATCTTTTTTTTCTGATAGAATGTGGAGATAAAGTAGGTCTTTATATTCAGTCCTGCCAAATTTCATATAAATTTATGAGAGGTTTCAATCTTTAAAACTCGCTTTATTTTAATGCATGGCATGCTTATTTAGGTAAAAGTCAGTAAAATTACTGCAGTAATTGTACCTAATATGTGGGGAATATCTTATATTGAGGAATTTGGAGACAAAGGTATTAGGTATTGATAACGACTATGAATGCATAAAATTGTAAATAGCCTGGTAATGCCAGAATCTTAACAAAGCCTACTGAAAATAAACAAATCATGTGGAACATTCTTTTATTATAAAAATAAAATAATAAAAGAAATTGCTTATCAAAAGGCATCTAGACCCACTTCAGAGTGTTGGCTTGTTGAAAGTTCTGCTTGATTTGAGGTTAATGGAGATACAGCCCTTTTCTGTAAAAGATCCCACAGTATACAATACATGTACCCAGAAATACATGTAGTTCCTACTTGCTGCATCTTCATAAACAAAATGATTTCATACCAAGGTGCTTTCAGTTCCAGCTGATGGCTGTGGGTGCCTATCTTGTATTTTATCCTACATATTAACTTTATATATAATTGGGGTTTTTTTGTTGATCAAATCATAGAGAACAGTAATTTTCTGTGCAATGTACTGTCTTTCATAATTACTGTGCTGCATCAGATTACAATGAACCTGATGAATTATAAGAAAAGAAAAATATTCTAAAGGTGAATATATTTTTCTTGTACATAATTGTGTGTATATTTTACCACTTGGTGTCACTGTTCTTCACAATCTTCCTTCATAAGTTAAAAGTAATACAAAAGTATATCTTCTGTATGCCTTTAAAATTTTCTTTTAAATATATGAAAATATTTACAGTAAAAATAAAATTTGTCATCTTAGAAACTAAACTAAAATGCCACTTAAAATACATTGATATGCAATTTGTCGAATTTTTAGAATGTCCTTATGCATGATGTATTCCACAATATATGAGGTTGGCTCACATTATATATTGTACTATCTTAGATATAATTACTATCAAAAATTGTTGTGTTTGAATTAATAAGAGTACATCCCGGGTATGATTCTCTCTCTATATATATTTTAAACAGGTCCTGATTGTTCTTTGAATGTCCCCTCAATGGAATCATATTGGATTCTGCCTAATGTTAAGCCATTTAGTCCATCTGTGAGCAGGGCTTCCCATAAGGCAATTCTTCATGGAAAGTTTATGTGGGTAATTGGTGGATATGCATTTAATTACAGTACCTTCCAGATGGTATTAAAGTAAGTTATTTCTTTTCTTAATTCTGTTTGAATTTTGTGTAAATATGTTGAATTTTACTGAACTCTCGCCTTGTTTTCTTGGCTGCATCATGGTTTAGTTCAGACTTTCCAGAAAGAGAGGATTGAAAATAAAATACTGTGGATTAATGGACTAAATTGGGGAGGGTGGGAGTGGGGAATGAGGTGTTCCTTTGTCTGCTTTTATTTAAATTTGGTTTACACACATGAATTAAAAATGAACGATTCAGAGCTTACTTAAATGATGCAAAATTCTGCAGTATTACCATTGGTCTTGTCTCTCCTTAAGGAAATAAAAATTGCAGAAATCCAGGGATTCATTCACAGAATAATTATATAAATGTCCAAAAATAGCAAGACTGAATTATTTTTTTTTATTTTTTTTAAATTTGATTTATATGCCGCCCTTCTCCGGAGACTCAGGGCGGCTTACAGTGCGTTAAGCAATAGCCTTCATACTTTTGCATATTTATACAAAGTCAGCTTATTGCCCCCACAAACTGGATCCTCATTTAACCTACCTTAGAAAGGATGGAAGGCTGAGTCAACCTTGAGCCTTGGAGAGATTCGAACCAGCAGTAAATTGCAGGCAGCTGTGTTAATAACAGGGTGCTTTAAACCACTGTAGTACCAATGTTCCATTTTGAAGTTTGCTTCATTTGCAAGATTTTCCTATTCATCCCTACTACTAATATCTGGAAGAAACTTCTGTTTTCATAGATAAATGTCCATTTTACGCTAAATCTTAGAATTTCACTGAAACAGCCCGAGAAAGAAAACTCTATTCTCCATTGTTCCCAGAACAATTTCCCAGAAATTAACTTCTTTGTGAGCTGCATTTTAGCTCCATTTTCTTATTTTTCAGATTATCTATAAAGTGGCATTTCTTCCACCTGTATTTTAATTATAAAATTGTAGTATTCATTTTAATTCATGTCTTCATATTTTAGATTTCATTTTTTAAACTTTGTATACTTGATTAACATATCATAATTGTGCTGTGCTTAAAGTCTTGGCCCTTTTGGGAGTGATACTAAATACCGGTATCTTTAATTTTAGTGAAAACCAACTTGGGTTTCTGGCACTGCCAAGGCTTTCATACAATTGATGATATTTTTTGACACGGGTTTCATGAAACTGAACTTCCCCACAAAATAAATTTCTGAATCTTTCAGAAAATGCTCACTTCTGAGTATTTTGTTATTGAGAAAAACACTCAATAACACAGTTGTCAAACGTCATGTTGCCACCATGTGATGTTTCACAACGTTTTTCCCCTTTGCGGAGCTGGAGTGGGTGTGGCTTGCACGTGACGCATCTGGCCCACGGGCTGTCAGTTTGACATCCCTGCTTAATAATCAACTGAAAATCTTGTTTTAAAATTTATTCATTTTTTAAAAGTGTTTTATTGGTTAAAAATATTGATGGAATAAGGAAAAGTTGCAAAAATTAAATTCTAATTTATTATATTTATTAGATGTTATATGGCATATCAGGAAGAAACAGAAAATGATATTTTAATTTGTAAGCATCTATAAATCTATAATTTTGCTTCTAGGTAATAAACTATTTGTTCACTTTTTAGCTATAATTTGGAAAGCAGCATTTGGAATGTGGTGCCTATATTGAAAGGACCCCTTCAGAGATATGGACATACTATTGCTTTATATCAGGTTTGTTTGTACATCAAAATTATATTTGAATGGTCCTCCTCCCCCTCCTCCCCCTTCCTTCTCCTTTCATTCTAACTCATTCAGCTCCACTTATTCTTATAATGTTCTCTTTCCATATGACATAGTAACACTGTATTTTAGAATTCTGAATCAAGGATACTTTTTTTTCTCATTTCATTTTAGAATAAATCACCATTCCATGAAATAACTGTGCAGTTATGACACATTTTCTGGCTTAAGTGGGCAATCCTATATTTGATTACTAAGGAATAAGCCTCATTGGACACAGAATAACTTCTCTTTCTTCACTCTTTCATTCCAATACTGATAAAAATGCAAAATAAGAATGGAGATTATAGTTCCTAAAATATAGAATACAAAGTAAGCCTATCCTTCTTGATCTTATTGGATAGCAGATAGGCATTGGGAGTAGGCAGTCCCATAGACAAACTCTGAGCTCTGCGATATCCAGGTCCTTGAATTACACCTGGAAGTCAGCCAACAATCAGTGCAGTTCTAGTAGAAGTTTTATTTTGGAGAACTTGGCATGCATGTCATTGCTTGACCAGCTGTATTTTGGAACTGGTAAATTTCCTAGATGGGTAGGTCCCTTAGTATGAAGTTTAAGCATTCTGTTTATTTGCCACATGCTTTACTTCAATTGTGTACTACTCTTGGTGCATTTAGCACCAACATTTAATTCAGAATTCACTCAAAAATCAGAATTTTCTCAAAAGTCTGTTTCTTTTTGCACTTGCATTTTCTAAATTAATGAAATATAAGCTTTTTTTCTGCCATTCTCAGTGATAACTATTTTCCTCTTGATTGCATTCATTCTCAGCCTTGTGAGGTAGGTCAGACAGGAAGCATGGTCAGTGAGCTAATTCTACTTTGCAATAGTGGCGAATATCTGTAGATCGGGTGTAGGATGAGGATGAAAGTTTGTTCTCCAAACTTGTGGGTTGGTTTCTGAATGTTTTGTTACTAGGCTAGGTAACTTCTTCGGCAGAATTTAGGAGATCCCTTAAACTCTGCTGAAGATGTTACCTAGCCTGATTAAAAATGTTTGGAAACCAACCTACAAGCTCAGAGAACGAACCTTCACCCTAATTCTACTTTATTGTGAGGTTACATTATTAAGTCTTGCAAATCTAAAGGTACATTTCATCCCCATTCCCTTTAAAGTCCCAAAAATGATCCCTTCTGACCTGATCACATTCATGCTACAGGCTAAATTTCCTTTTCTTCTCCCTGTCTCTAGAGTGATTCCCACATACTGTTATATTCATTCTGAATATGACATTTTTCCAAACATCGGTACGAGGGGTGAAATGCTCCCAGTTCGGACCAGCTTGGGCGAATAGGTAGCGGAGATTGAGACTAGTTCGCCGAACCGGGAGCAATGGCTGGCTGGCAGTCCTGAACCGGTCCACTACCCGCAGTCCTGCCATGCTTCCCTGCCTTCCATGCTGCCTTCCTGGCGTCCCAGTGGCCAGCTTGCAAAGGCAGGCAAGCAGAAGCCCACATGGAAGGCAGGCTAGCAGCTTACTCGCCCCCCCCACTCAAGCAGCGGCTTCCCTGGTCAGCCCCAACAAGTTATGCATCCATAGCAATGGGGTGGTTTTGTTTGCCACGGTGGTGCTTCAGGAGGGCAGGTGGACATATTCATTATAGTTGTCAGCTGCAGACATATGCCTGCCGTCCCGAAGCACCACCGTGGCGAACAAAACAACCCCATTGCGCCGTGCCTCCTCCTGCAGCCAAACGCGCCCAGCCGTCCATGCCCTTTCCTCAAATGGGCTGTGCATGGGGCACTTGGAGAGAGAGCAAGCAAGAGAGCCTTGGCTTCAGATCGCTCCCTCCCTCCCTCTTTCCCTCTCTCTCTCTCTCTCTCTCTCTCTCTCTCTCTCACACACACACACACACACACACACACACACACACACAAACAAACAGAGGATGGAGAGCTGTCTTGCTCACTCTCTCTCCAAGCGCCCCATGCGTTTGGGGAAAGGGCACAGAAGGCTGGGCATGTTTGGCTGCAGGAGGAGGCCCAGTGGAAGGCGGCTTTTTCAGCAGCATTTCCTCCCCTCTTTTGATTGCCCTGCAAGGGGGAAACTCTGCTTTTGCAGGAACAGGATGGGCGGTTTGTACGGAGGCTTGGCGGGGGGGATGCGTGACCCTCCGGAATGAAGAGCAGGGCAAGAGAAGGCTCTGAGGTTCGCCTGGGCAGTCAAGCCAGAGGGAAACTCAAAGCGTTGGGGGCTTCAGAAAGGAAGAATGTGCTTTTGTGCAGCTCCTGGCTTCTGTGACATTCTGTGAAAGACAGAATGTGCTTCTGTGTCAGAATGTGGAGCTCCTGGCTCTAACAGTGAGTGACGTCAAACTGGCCATGCCCACCCAGTCACATGACCACCAAGCCACGCCCACCAAGCCATGCCCACAGAAGCAAAAGAATTTAGATTTCACCCCTGATCAGTACCTCATTCAGTGTAAATGAAATGCTTTGATCCCACTGTCCAGTTTTTCTGCAAACTTTATTATATTCTATCAAAAAATAACCCATGTGTTTCCCCGTCTTAATCATTGTAGAATTATACCTCCTTTTAACAAAATTTCTCCATATATGGACGGTAAACTAGTTAAGATTAACACCTTTCTGAAAGATCCATCTGTTTCCAGAACACTTATTGACCTTTAATGAAGATTAGGTTTCTGTGCATCATTAATGCCAATCAATGTACCATGAAAGGCTGAAGATAATTATATATAAAAATGATATGACTCTATTTAGTTGTTAACAGTAAAAATATAATCTTGATTTATATAGCTGTCATTGTATATATTGCTGAATGATCTGAAGTTCTTTAAAAAAAATTCCTGGTACTGTTGACAGTGTTGATCTCCTGCTGGAAGACAGGATGGTGGATACAAATAAGTACGCATATCAAATTGTCATTATTTTCAGGAAGTAGAATTAGTCCTGTCAGAACAGATAGCACCATCTGTTTATTGTCCATATGGCAGCCTAGTATGGTTCTTCACATGCTATTAGGTATTAAATGCAGTTTTTCCATTGTTTGGATTCTTTTCATCACAGTTCTGTGTTGAAATCCTGAAAGAAAATATAAACACTCTATTAGCATTGTCTGGATGGAAAACACTGCAAAATAATCTAGACTCAAACCAAAAGCTGATTTTTTAAAATAAAATATTTTAAATGTTTTTCTAATCTGGTAAATTGAAATTTAGATTTAAATTATAACAATGTGCAAGAATAGTTGGTTTAAATTGTTTAAAAACATTTAATATGGATTTAAAATAATTGTTACAGCGAACATAGTGTTTCTTTAAATTAGAATTTCTTTGGTAGTTGGAGACTGATAGTATGATTTTCAGTTATCTGCTACTCATCAACATAAAGTCTAATGATGCACAGTTAGCATGGTTAGAAGGAAAAGAAAATTATCTAATCAATAATTTTGTCTGCTTATATTACTCTTTTGGCTCTGAACATGATTTTAAGAAGCAATGACTTCTGGAAAAACTCTGCAATAAGATTGTTAGTCCTAAGCATTTTCAGATGTGTAAAGAAAAGGATGGTATAGAAAGGAAGTATTATTTGTCAAGATACTCTTATCATAATTTTTACAGGTTTTTAATTTACCCACCAATATCTAAAAAGTAAAGTAAATCTGAATGTATTCAATTGTAATCTACAGAAGATATTCAAATTGTAATATGTTGATACCGAAATGAAACAACAGGTAGTCCTCATTTAACAAACCAAATTGGAACAAGAATTCTGGCCCTAAGTGAAGTGGTTGCTGAGTGGGAAATCCTATGATTGCAACTACTTTGTTTCTCCAAAAAGATGTCCCACCTTGATCAGAAGCCCTCTCACGTTTTTGAGCGTATGCGATCAAATTAAGTCCTACCCAAAAAATTAGAGAGTCCACTAATTAAGAATCCACCCATGCCAGGCTGCAGAGGGTGGGATGAGGCACAAAGGTAAAAAATAAGCTAGGGTGGGGATGGGGGTGGTGAAGCTTCCCTATTTACCAGGCCCCACACACCCCGACACCTGCCTCACCTTCTTCTGCAGCTGCTTCTGCGGCCGCTTGCCGCCACTCGCATGCATCACCCTAGACTCCGTTTCACCTTCAGATGCCTACAAGAAGGCATCTGCAGCCTTCTATTATCTCTATTATCGGCTGCAGAGGGCTTTCTGGAAGGCATCTGTAGCCAATAACAGAGCTCTGGATTGATCCGGAGCTCTGTTATCAGCTACAGATGCCTTCTGGCCAGTCGCAGGCTCCTGCTGGGTGGGGCTGTCAGTGCCACTGCCACGAGGTGAGTCAATAATTAGAACACTTGAAAAAGAAGGCCTAGCCGCTTTTAAGACCCAGCCTTCTTTTTGGAGAAACACGGTATGATTTCCAACTTATCCAAGGGATAAGTTTCATACCTTGGCTTTTATTTTTCTCCCTAACCACTCCTCTCCCTTTATGCATCTTTGAGTAAGGTAGACCTCGATTTACATCAGTTCATTTAGTGAGCGTTTAGAGTTACAACGCCACTGAAAAAAGTGATTTATGACTGTTTTTCACACTTAAGACTATTGCAGCATCCCCATAGTCATGTCATCAAAATTCAGATGCTTGGCAGCTGACTCATTAATGATGGTTGCAGTGTCCTATGGTCATGTGATCCCTTTTGTGACCTTCTGACAAGCAAAATCCATGGGGAGACCAGATTTACTTAACATGCTACTGACTTAACAACTGCAAAGATTCACTTAAGAATTGTGGCAAGAAAGTTTGTAAAATGGAGCAAAATTCACTTAAAAATGTTTCACTTAGCAACATAAATGTTGGCCTCAATTGTGATCGTACGTTGAGTGCTACCTCTATCTGTTTACTGCCCCAGGCTGCTGCACAGCTGCATTGTTTTCAAAGTCTAGAACAGCATACTACTTATGCTCTTCCCACTTATGACTATAACTATGTTGCTTGTATCTTTATAATTTATATTGTTTTATTTGTTGCCTAGTACGATTTGATTGCTTATTAGTAACCTATGACTATCATTACGTGTTGTATCTTATGATTCTTGATGAATGTATTTTATTTTTCTTTATGTACACTAAAGACAAATTCCTTGTGTGTCCAATCACACTTGGCCAATAAAGAATCCTATCCCATCCCATCCCATCCCATCCCATCCCATCCCATCCCATCCCATCCCATCCCATCCCATCCCATCCCATCCCATCCCATCCCATCTCATCCCATCCCATCCCATCCCATCCCATCCTATCCTATCCTATCACCCTACCCTACCCTACCCTACCCTACCCTACCCTACCCCAGCCCAGCCCAGCCCAGCCCAGCCCAGCCCAACCTCTAATCCCTTCCTCTCTCTCATCTTTCTCCTCAGGTTAAGGGATGCTACAAAAGTAGTAAATGGTCCTACCTAAAGTTATTTTAGCCTAAAGTTATTTTTCAGCACTGTTGTAATTTTGTAATTCAACTGAAGGAGTAGTTGGTAAGCAACGGCTACCTCTTGCCTTTACATCTTACTACTGTTTGGCATTGTAGAGATTGAACAGAAGTAGATGTCAGTCAGGACATGCCTTTAAAGGAGTAATGTGAACATTTTTGACTGACTTATAAAGAACAGCCATTTATGGGGTACAAAACTTATTTTTAATTTACTAAAAGGTTTTCCAGTGATTGTAATATACATTGAGGGAAAACAATAATATCAAAATACTAATGGCAATCATGTAATCTGAAGAAAACAAGGATTATTCTAGGTCTGGGGAGAGGAGAGTTCTTGCCAGTTCAAAATGGCAGTAGATTGAACTGAAGATTGGAAATGTCATAGAATAAGAATCCTAGGACATACGGAAGCTAGGAATAATTTGACTTAAAAAGTTCATTTGAGGGATCTGATCATGTAAGGCTGCTTTTTATAATTGGGATACAGGTCAACAATCTAGTATTGTCTGAAAGTATTCAAGTAAAAAAAGGCCCAGTATTCCCCACCCAATTCTGGGTAGGAACTGAATAGTAGTTGAAACTCAATGAGGCAAAGTTAGGGAAAAAAGGCTAGAAAAAAGTAGAATATTGAGATGTATTATGCTGCTGCAGTATTATTACAATATTTTCAGAACCAATAATCTACTCTGAAATTCATATATACGAAATTGTTAAAAAAATATTTACAATGGAAACTGCACCAAGATTCATTTGTAATTTATGGTTTTTTGCTGAGTTTTAAAAAAGCAGTTAAATTTATCACTGCTCATTGGTCAATATACCTGTTTTTGGTATAGTAAATTCTTGGTGAAAAAAGGAGGGTTTTTTTCCCCTGAAAAAATTCACAGAAATAAGATCCTGTAGTATAAGAATGTAGTATAAACTTATATTATAAACCCATGTTATTTCTAATGTGGAAAGAATGATACCACAGCTCAACATTTATATTCGTATGTTTTGTATTTTTATCTGAAGTTTAACTAATGATCATTTTCCCTTCTTTAAAACAGGACGACATTTACATGTATGGAGGCAAAATTGAAACAAATACTGGTAACGTCACTGATGAATTATGGATTTTCAACATACCAAGTCAGACCTGGAGCCTCCGAATTCCAGCAGTGCTTGTCCATGGGCAGCAATATGCAGTTGAGGGTCACTCAGCACACATAGTGGAGCTTGACAGCAGGGATGTTATCATGCTTGTGATTTTTGGGTACTCTGTAATATATGGCTATACAAGCAGCGTTCAAGAGTATTATATCAGTAAGTTGTCTTTTTGTTTTTTAAATTGCTTTTTTAAAACTTCAGGATGTGAACCTCTGAGACAAGGGAGAATAAGGGATAAGCTGTACTTATACTTACCACCTTATATTTTTTTAACCTATCATAGATGGGTATCATTCAGTTTGGATAGGAATTCTAATATGGGAAATACAGTAATGAGAGTTTTAAATCCTCCTCTTCTGTTAATATGGGCTGTAGTTCTTCTTTTTTAAAAATATGTACTAACCAAACATTTCAGTTTAATTTTAATACAACGGTATTAAACATATGGTAGCAGCTATACTAACTTGAAAAAAAAGAAAAAAAAGGATAAACTACCACAAAGGAAACACCTCTTTTAAGACAACTTTGAAAAAAACCAATTGCAATATTGTAAATAAAAAAATTGTTAAATATTTTTATATTAAATAGTACCAATTACAATTTTCTAAGTTGCTACCACAGAATCCCTTAGTTTCAATTTGAGTATTAGTTAAACCAATTACAGTCTGGATCTATGCTGGTTTATGTAATTTTGTATTTAGAGGGAGAGAAAAAAATCAGTAATTTAAACACTGTTATAGTCTAATATAAATTTCCTTTTCTGACCAACTTTCCTGCAAGTATCAGTGGGGGAAGTACTAGTAAATAGATGAAAGTTGCTTGATTGCAGCATATAAGTTTAATAAATAAATTTTGATGTATGGATGAGTTTTATTTCTGTTTGCTTCTGGATCATAGGACAAAGTTGCATATTTTATACATTTTTAAACAATTACACATAACTAATTGTGATATAGATGTAGATGTTAATTTAGAAGTTATATGAAAAGGTATCTTTGATGTAAAATGAAGTAGCTTTTCACAAAGTAGCTTAACCTCTGTCAGTAATGTACAGTACAAGCGGGCACTTTCAAAATGACAATTGTGAAAAAACCCTTTCAGAATAGCTGCCTTAAAAGTAAGTACTAGGCAATACATGGAAAATTCTGCATTCATTCTATTTTTGGAAAGATATGCTTAATATTACTGACATTAGCATACTTGATTCCACCTCCTTAACTTTCGAAAAAATAATTCAGTTTTGACTACCCTTGATTTTAATATCATTTAAAGTCATTTTTGAAGATATAAACTGTGCTTTTATGAATAATTAATAATACTGTACAATTTTGAACTCTGCAGTTTCACTACTATCCAGCAGGATGCACTACTGTTCCAATTTTGCTCAATTCTGAGCTAAAAAAAAATCCAGTAATATACTGTTTTTCTTTCTAGACAGCATTTTTTGTTGTTGTTGCTGTAACAATACTGAAGTGCATTCTTCTGTATTATATATGCAGATATAAAGAACTGTATTCTTTATAAAGTTCTGTGGTATTTATCATTTTTTAAAATTATGCATAGGACACTTTCAAGTCTAATTGATAGCTGCAGTATTTATTCCAATGAGTCATATGTGATTCATTTTTAAGTAAACAGGATTAAGACAGTAGCCAGTATCAGTAAGTATAATTTAAATTCCAGTTATTATCTTTTTATAACCATGAAATGGGCTAAATACTAGTAATTGCCTATTCATTAGCTGGATTTTCTTCTCTATTCCCAGTCATTGCCTGAATGCTGTAGTGTCCTAATTTTAGAAATAAGAACAATAAACAGCAATAAATGCGTTATGCAGTTTGTAATTAAGCTGAGACAAAAAAAAAGATAGGATCTAACAAGGTAAGTTATTGGAAAAAAGCAACATCAGAAAATTCCAGATAAAACAGACCAGAGTTTCATATAATTGAATATCTTGCTTCCCCCAGTGGCCAAATTAGATGCCTTTGGAGTGCCCATAAACATACCATGACAACTTTCTTCTAGTGTTGTTCTTCTAGCATCTGTTATTCACATGGGTATTATCTCTGAATATGAAGATTCACTTTGTCCATCAAGAATAACACCTGCAATATGTATTTATCATGCTTTTAAGAGACAAGCTGCATATTAGGTTAAAGACATAGATTGCAGCTATGAATCTATCCATCTTTTTCTGGTTTGCGAATGAGAGAAAATAAGTAAAAATGTGATATTTGTACTGAGATGCTTATCTCAGTGCAAAGAGATTATGCCTCCTCAGCTATGGTTTTAAGATAATTCCCCTATCTCCAATTTATGGAACTGAAAAAAAAAGTCTCTAGTCACGCTCACAATGGTAAATTGGGAAAATGATTGATTACACTATAGCTGGGAAAGGAAGCCTTAACATTGTAGAAATAACAACAGATTTCTTAGTTGTTAAAAGAAAGAAAAAAAAAACAAAAAACGCCTTGCTGCAATTTTAATGTAATACACAGATGGGCAACACGTAGCTCCTTTTTATTTTCTTTTTATAGGTCTTATAGCCCATCCAACTATGAATACTAAAAACTGATAGCATTGTTTGCAGGGATTTTCATTGTAGTATAAGCCCTTAGTAATATTTTTGAGATAAATTTTGCTCTGTTTATGTTAAATGATGAATTGTATTATTAAGATAAAAATATTATGCACAAAATCTACTGTTAATACTAGTGAGATGTATAATTTCCAATAATGTTAATATTAGATACATTTTTTGTGAGTACAAGTCTAACATTCCCACTGGAATTCTGTACTTGAAAAAGTCAAGAACGAATATTGGACCAATTAATTCTTCCATGCCAGAGAGTGTTGAACTCAAAGGCTGAAGATGTACAGTTTTTAATGTGCTAGTACTCAATTTTATTACCTCTCTGTTGTTCATTATGGCAATCTGGCTTTTTTTCAGGCTTCAGGGTGAGCTTGAAAAAACTATTTAACAAAACTACTAGGTAAAGATAATATAGCTCTTAAAGCAATAGGATTTTCTCAAGCTCATACAGAAACATGAAAAAAGTTGGACTGCTTTAATGAATAGTAGAGAGGTCTTCATTCACATACAACGCGAAATGCTTTTTCTGAATCACTTTCAGACCATGCATAGCTCTAATTTGCATTGTTAAATACTGAAAAAATAAGAACATCATGTGACTCATGCCACAAGTAACTTGTTACTGTCGTACTATAGTGTTCATTAATAGTTAACATTGTTAAAATTATATTGCTAAGTATAATGTCCTTGGAGAAATTCCAAGCAGCATTATATGGAAGATACATGGTTGGCTAAATTAGCTTCTACTTCATTTAACAACAGAAATGAAAATGTCATTGTCTACTGAATAGTTTATTACTGGGGCTAAAGTTGAAATCTAGGACTTGATTCTGCTTTGTAACTTCCTTTAAAATATTATAGAATATATGTATTAGTAAATAATTTGTAAAATAGATTCTATTCCAAAGCACATTTTAATAAATTTTAGTCCATGGCTTTAAATTACTAGTAGTGGCAAAAAAATTGCATAGTTAGCAGTTATTATTATTCAGGATTAATGTCAACTGTGTATATTTCTTTAAAATGATAATAGATTGTCAGCATCAAATATTAATCACACTAATACAGGAAAGTAGAGTTTGACATTATGAGAATTGTGGCTAGGAGTTCTTTTATGACCAGTGTCGTTTTGTAAGCATTCATTTGTTTTACAAAGGTTTAGTTTGCAGAATCTTGTCCCTACTTTGTAGTTTATTTTTTGAGGTTGATCATTTTTATGTTTCATTTTATTTGTGTAATTTTATTCCATTAAGGTTTAATGCATTTTGTACTATGTTTTCCTGAATTCCTGTATAGAATTTATGTCTAGACCTACAGCAGTTGGATGATTTTAAACTTTAAAATTCCAGATGGTGACTTGAAGTACAAACTGAGTTTTGGAACAAAGCAACATAGAAAGCAGATTGGAAAACTCTGAATAGTAATAGATATTGTTTTTGTATGACAGTTTGATCCTGTTAAGAAAATGAAAATCTTTTTAAAGATTTTAAAACCCACTATTATTGTGTTATGGTTTTGAACTGGAAGTTCTACCACTTATCTTAATAGTATATCTTTTTATGTTTTCTTTCATAAAATTATTTGAGTTTTATACTGTGTTAATTTCACTTAATAGTTGAATATTTCCCAAGTCAAATAGAATAAAGAATTAAAATCAATAATTCAGTAAAGAATACATTGTTGTACGAATTTTTAAAAAAGTATCTTCATACAATATTCATTCATGGCACTATGTATCTCTTGATAGACTAGTCCTACACAGATTTTCCTGAATAGCCAGATTTTCTTTTTAAAAAATCATGAGTGGTGGGACCATTCCTGCCTCCAGGGATTAGATATTCCATAAGTAGAAACCTCCAAAGAGTATATATATTTAGATATTCCTTCCTGCCAGATGTACCAATGAGTAGAGATTCTTATTAGACTTCTGTTTTTGTTACATAGATCCTAAACTATGCTTAAGCAGTCTGAATTGCAGTTGTAATCAAAATGCAGCTCCTGTAGAAATAATATGACATGACATGACACAGGTATGATACATGGATACACAAATAACCCTATTTGTACCAACTGTAGTTTATTATAGCCTATGGTGTTAAGGAGCTTGCAGATGTCACATCATAATCTTTGGGAAATCCTAGAATACAGGGAAGTGCTGTAAAATTGAAGAAAAGCTAATATTTTTGGGTCTTTAAAAAAATGGGAGAAAAGTGGACTCGGTCAACTGCAGATCAACCAGATTGGCATAATTATCTGGGAAAGTCCTAGAAAGGCAGAAAGAATCTTAGATTTCCTGGTAGACAAATAACAGAGTTTGAAGATTAGCCAACAGTGTGCTACGTATTCTGAAAACACCAATGATATCTTTGGCTGTATCGATAGAGATATATTTTGGAGATCATGGAGGGTGATAGTTATGCTATGCAATACCACTCAGACTGCTCTTCCAGTTTTTGTCACTATTTTAAAAATAGGGTTCTGGAAAGATCAGAAATAAGACTACAGAGATAGTGAGAGACTTGGAGGCAAAGTTCTATGAATAATGGTTAAAGGAACTGGGGTTGTTTAGCTTAAAGAAGTTAGGAGTGAGTTAGCAGTCCCCAATACTTGAAGGCACTCACTGAAAGTTAGTTAGATAAAAAATGATAAATGGAAGCTTTGCAGAGACACATTTAAATTGGAAATAAAGAGTAATTTCCTGGCCACAAGAGCTATTAAACAGTGGAACAATCTGCCTCTTAAAGTTCTCCTTCATTGGAACATCAAGTAAAGTTAGACAGTCATTTGTCTAGATTGTCTTTGGATTTCTACAATGGGCAATGACTTGGATAGTAAACCTCCAGATCTCTTCCAGCCCTCTGGTTTTGTAAAAGCCCTTGGTTTCAATAGTGGCATTAATCTTCTTATTACCCTGATTTCCAAACACCAATTATTCAGGAAATGCAAGATCCATGTACTTTAAACAGATTTAATTCAACAGGGCAAAACAATATATACAATAATACAATTACCACTTTGATTTACATGCACTACAAGTATGAAACTGAAGAAGAGTTGTGGAATATCTTGCAAAAATAATAAATTAAACTTAAGCATCTTTACATTTCTCTAATTTACTTTTTCTTTGAGACATTTTGGCAAAGTTTCCATGGAGTGCAGAGGGAACCATATTACTTTCATAAGGGGAATGGCGGGAACAGTGTTTGTTTAAAGCCAATAGAGTTCTTATTTTCTTTTTAATCTAAAGAAGCTCTTGACATTGAGAGCAGACATCATATGGTTACTAATTGAAACAAGTCTGTGCAGTAGAAATTGTTTTTCAAAAATTTCTAGAAATACTATAACACTACTTTTTTTGCTAAAGAAAAGTAATAATATTCTCTGTATTTTTCCCAGACTCACACCGAGAATCTTGCAAAATGTATGTAGTTTTACTAAACCGAAAGAAAATAAACTTCCTCGTGGATTTGTCCAGTTATGGTGCAAGTTAATAAAAACACCCATATAAGTTTCCTACTGAGAACTTCTGAGATTCTTAGATGGCCCATGAATGCCATCATTTTAACAATAGTCAGAGAAGGTGAAAGAAAGCTCATTTGCTTTAGCATGATACCGAAAGGTGCTTGACACTTGAAGAACAGTAAACACATTTTTGAAGTGTATATTTAATTTAGCTGAAAAGTTAGCAGTGCTTTGATTTTTTAGTCTGACTGAAAAATAAATTAGCTGATTAATTTGTCATAAGACACAAAATGTCAATGATCATTGTTTATTGCAAAAAAGAAAAAGGACAACAGTGATAATAAAGATGGATTGTATGTTTGATATTTCTTAACACAGATTCCTAGACTTGTTTACATAGAATTGAAGCTGGAAAAGCTTTAATATTAATTTATTTTTCTAATTATAAGGAGTACATAAACTTAGTAAATGAACATACTACGACATAATAAAATTTCGGATTTTTCTTGTTTCAAAAACTACCATGGCTGATTTGGACAATGGATTAGGCCATAAAGAAAGAAATCACAATGTAGTTTATGCATACATATCATGACATGCATTTCTTGGTAATGACACCTTATCTTTCTAGATTCAGTCGCAGTTTTGTTCCATATAGTATCAACCATGTGAACTCTCAAGTTTCTTCTTTCTACTGCACTCACACACAAACACACATGTATGCATGCGTGTGTGTGTGTGTGTGTGTGTGTGCGCGTGTAGCATGTGTATATGTTTGTTTGTGTATGGGTAGATATATACTTTATTTTGAGAGCAGGCAACAGAATTTCATTTTTAATATGTGCCAGTATGCTCACAGTAGAAAATGACAAAGTTATCTCATTTCCATTTCCATCTTATCCCATTCCATCCTGGATGCCTTACATTGTAATACTTGGTTTGGATTTTGTCCTCTGGCTCATCCTCAAATTATGTGCAAATGTAGCAAAGTGCGTAAACATTTTGTCAGGATTATATTAGGTTTTCTCCATGAGATTTGTTGAAACATTCCAACAGTAAAACGTGTATTGATTATTAATTTGATACTAGATATCAGTGATATATCATTAATCATATCATTAATTATTAGATATAATTTTAATATGAGTATGTATTTTGAATTGATTGAATTATTAGGGGATCATATTAAGGATATTTGTTTAAGATAATGTTCATATTCTGTTGGTAATTTTGATATTGGATACACTTGTATATCAACGTTCAACAGATTTGACTTAACTTTGGAAATGAAATATAAACAATTACATATAAAATGGATTTCTTGCTTTCTAAGAATGTTGATTATAATAAATTAGTAAATTAAGAATAAATTTATATTTCCATTAATAATTCTTTTATATCTTAGGAACGAATTCTTGGCTTGTACCAGAAACAAAAGGAGCAATAGTACAAGGTGGATATGGCCATACCAGTGTCTATGATGATACCACAAAATCTGTTTATGTTCATGGAGGCTACAAAGCATTGCCCAGTAATAAATATGGATTGGTTGATGATCTTTACAAATATGAAGTTAATACTAAAACATGGTAAATCTTTTTAATATATGTATGTATATGTGCATGTATGTATATTTATAGTATATGTACATATATTCTCATACATTTTGTTAACTGATTGAATATTCAGGTTATATGAATACTGAAGTTTGATACTGAAATGCAAAATTTTTGTTTTGTCTTTATTCAGGAAAGAAAACAATAGCATTCTAGCAATAAGATTCAACCTGTTTTCTTTTCTGAGATAATAGTTGATATTGCTAAGTATTTTGAATATTGTTAAACATCAACTCTAATATATTAAATGTTATCATGCTGTTCAGAGGATCAGAGATTTCACATATATGTATTAATAGAAACAAAATCATTGTACAGTATGGAACTTAATTCCCCGATCTCTTGGACAGAACTGTGAGAAATATCAGTTTACATGGGGTAGATATACAGAGGAGTGTAGAAAATACTGAACAGAGAATTATCTTTGATCAATTTGATCAAGAAGTTTTTACTAAAATCTTCATGTATAATGTATGAACCAAATTAAAATAAAACATGGATCCTTTGTGATTTGCTATAATTTTAAAGTGGTAATTCTGAATTTGCATGATACCACCATCAGAAAGTAAGCTATAAAAGACTCATTCGCACTGTTATAACTGGATGACAGAAGATTAGTAACAGTATTCATTAAGAGATTTTAGAATAGGCATTATTTGACAATAGCATAGGCAAAGAAGATCCACTGCTACTGCATGTGGTTTTCAGGCCTTAAGGTTATCTATATGTTCGCTCAGGGCTGGTATCAGAAAAATTATCAAATATCACCATCCAAATTGATGTATATGAATTCAGATGTGTAAATGTTGCTGTGAAAAAGTCCTTAAAATTATAGAGAAAGTATTGGATTTGCAAAAAAGTCATATAAATTATATTTCATATTTTATTTCATATTTTAATATAAATTTATTATATTTTGTATTTTAACTCCAAAAGTCCACAGGATAATAAGAATTTTTAAAAGGATGAATAGTTACAGCTTGTTTCTTTCCTGGTTTGTTTCAAGACTATTCATAATATAATTCTTGAAATTTGTTTTTCTGTGCAGTTCAACAGATGTGATTGCTAGCACTGTGTCTAAACAAATATTATTTAATTTATAGTTATTTCACACAGATCACCTTGACTCCTCTTGATGCCTTATATACTCCTTTTTTTCAACAGGACAATTTTAAAAGAGAGTGGCTTTGCAAGATATCTCCACTCGGCTGTTTTGATGAATGGAGCAATGTTAATTTTTGGGGGAAACACTCATAATGATACTTCATTAAGTAATGGTGCGAAGTGTTTTTCTGCTGATTTCCTGGCCTATGACATTGGTAGGTATAAGAGTAAATGTTTGAAAGGTTGGAACTCTAAATTTAATATATACTATATAGAATATAATATATAACTTATGTAACAAAAAACGTATACAATAACCTGCTCTATAAAAGTTCTTCATTTCATAAATATTTATGAGACCGCCTTCTGCCACAGATAGCCTCCCATCGACCAGTACACTCCCACAGACAGGACTCCTCAGGGTGCCATCGGTCAAACAGTGTTGACTGGCGACCCCCAGGGGAAGAGCCTTCTCTGTGGGGGCACTTGCCCTATGGAATGAGCTGCCCCCAGAGATTCGTAGGATTCCCGACCTTCGCACCTTCCGCCGTGCCCTCAAAATGCTTTTGTTTCAGCAGGCAAGACTGGCCTAAGTGTAATTTTAATGGGTAGTTTTATGTTATTTTAGTTTCGGCCAAATTATTTAATAGTTTTAATTTGCTTTTAAATTTTATATTTGTGGGTTTTATCTTGGCTGTACACCGCCCAGAGTCCTTCGGGAGAAGGGCGGTATAGAAATTTAAATATAAATAAATAAAATAAATAAATAAAACATGAATATTTATAACCATATTTTTATTCTAAGACAAGCCACATTTTTATCATTTCAATCCTTGAGTTTCATTCAGTAGATAGAAAATTGAGATGCCTCTGACAGCAAATTTCTTTCTTTCTACAATATTCAAGGTTCCAGGGTTTTGATTTCGCTTATATTTATTTATTTATTTTTTACATCGCTGAACTTCCAGAGACTCTGTGCAGTTCACAGATAAAAGGGGACAGAGGACAATAATACAATCATAAGAACAAAGAAAAAATGATGGCACCAGACAGGCTACAACCAAAGCATTACTGAAAAGCCAATTTCAGTCCCTTTGTCAGAGGGATGAGTGAACAGTCTTTTTGATCCTCCATTTTAAATCTATAATTCTAAATATAATAATAATTTCCTAAATTTAGGCATTAAAAAGTCAGAATGTATTTACATATTTAAACAAAGTTAATCTTTGCAATACCACTTGAACATATTTATACAATAAACTAAAATGGGGTAAGAAAGGGACACGTCAGGTTATGCACTGTTGCCTTGACAGTTTTACATTTCCCAACATAGTAATGTTGACAGCTTTTAAAAATATTCTCCACAGCTCTCCAAATGGTGAATATTCATAGAGGAAATGTTTTTGATATTTCATATATCCTAGTTTAATAGAGGGTTATGATTTGATATGATTGAAGACATAGCAATATGTGATAAAAATAACTTTTCTGAAATTATGACAAATAGGAAATATATATTATATATCTATCTCTATATATCTATCTAAATATAAAATATTAATAAATATTTTCTTCAATGTTTCTCACCCTATACATAACCCCCAGAAATCATAACCCCCCCAAAATGTGCAATATTTAACTAATACATTTATTTCTTCTTTTAATCGTGTAAATTATATTAGTAATTATATCAATTACTACAATTTTATTACAGAGTTCTGTAATAATTTAATACAGTCAGATATATCAATAGCTTAAAGGCAGTAATTTTTATTTGTAGCATTAAATTAAAATGTGTAGAGCCTGTGAATTCCTTCAATAGATCTTTTTAAATGGTTATATTTTCTTGTCATATAATGTAGAAATTGTAATCAACTTTGTGTATGCACTGAGAACATCATGAACGTAAGCCTAGGACTGCAGAAACTGATTGTTATTTTTAAACATAAAAATTACAGTCTGCTTTGGTTTTAAATTGTAATGCTACATCATTTCTTTTCCTAAATAATTAAAACACTTAACATATTATCTATAATTTTAGCAGTCTCATTTCCCATGCATTATTAATCCGATATGATATAAATGAAACAGATGTAATTTCTGTCTAATTTTAATATTTGTATGAAGATTAATTACATGTGAGTTTAATCTTCTGTGCTATTCCTGAAGCCTAAATTAAAAACACTTCCTTAGAATATGTCTTGAACCTAAGCATAATAGAAAAGGAAAATTTCAGTTTCTATATGAGCATATATCAAAAGAAATCTGTAATATCTACTTAATTAAAAAGCTAAAATAATTAAGAGAACATTAGATGTACACATATTTTGTTAATACTTTATATTCTTTATGACCAATAGAGGTTTTGATCACTGACCTTACTGTGGGAGAAATTGTTCACCGAGATCACATCTTTAATATTTCCCCAGAAAACGAGAAATGCAGGGATTTGAACCCAGAAGGTTTTTTTTAATTAAAAAGTTTTAAAATTTTTTACAAATGTTTTGCATAATCCACCATATTTTTATCCAGAATGCTTTGATTTTTTTACATGTCCACCATATATGATAATACGTGGCTTCATCACACTCACATCTCCAACACATAGATTGTAAACTTGGATACATACAAGCTAACTTTTTAGGATCTAAGTGCCATCTATAAAACATTTTATAAAAATTTTCTCTCATATTTTGAGTTTGCGTAAATTTTACATTTCTAACCCATATTTTTTCCCAATCCATCATTATTGGTTCCTCAATATTTTGTGCCCATTTTATCATACAATCTTTAACTAACTCCGTTTCTGAATCTATTTCTATAAATATATACAACCTTTTTATATGCATTTGACTCTGGTCTCTGATTTGTTTTACCAAGTTTTCATCCGTTTGCATGATACCAATTTTCTGATCCTCTTTCCATCTAGCTTGTAACTGTCTGTACTGAAACCAAGTTTGAATTATCTTTCTTCTTTTAGTACATTCAAAGACTTTAACTGTAATATACCTCTTTCCATATTGAGAAGCTCTTTATATGTAATCACATCTTGTTTTTGTTCTACATTTATAAATGTAGAACGAACCCAGAAGGTTTTGAATGTAAAACTCTTTCTTCGACACTACAGGTAGTTCACATTTAGTGATGGTCTTCTGCAGTGACTGTTGCTGTTACAATGTTGCTGAAAAAGTAACTTGGTGATCAATCCTTGCATTTACGACTTCACAGGCCTATACAGCAAAGAAAACTGAAGTAAGATAATAAGCACAGTGACAATTTTCCTTGGTGATGGCTTCATTTAAAGATCCAGTTACTGGTCCTAATGAAGACTACTTGTGGCGATGACCCTTCCTTCAGGATGCTTGGCTTTCTGTGACTTAAGCTTAGAGCTTTTAAAATGAAATCAAAAGGAGAAACGTTAATATCTGGAATGGCCTGAATGATTTTTTAAGAGGCTATTTTCAAATTCAAAATGGAGTGCTAAGCCTCCATAACTAGTATCTAAACTAGTTATATACTGTATTCATTTCAACAGTATGTCTGGTATATGTAAGTCTTAACATAATTAGAATGCTGTAGAATATAATGCAGTTAACTATATTAAACCGAATGAAATGAAAGTAGAATGGTTTCTTCTTTCTGGGAAAAGTGCTATTTTGTAAATAGTGTCATTTTCACTTGTAAGTAGAATTCATTTTATTAATATCACGCCACATTTATCAAATTAAAACAAATTGAGATATTATAGCACTTTATTCTCAATAATAATTAAAATTGAAAGCAAAATGAAAAAAGAAAGAAAATGTTAGGTAGCTTTTTTTAATTAATCATGCAGCATTTTTATTTATTTATTTGCATCCTGCCTTTATTATTTTACAAGTAACTCAAGATGAGAACATATTTCATATACTGTACCTCCTCCTCCTCTTATTTTCTCCATAATAGCAACCAAATGACGTGGTTTGGGATGAGAGTGACAGGCCCAAAGTCACCCAATTGACTTTTGTAGCTATTTTTGACTCTTTCGTATTGACTTAGTGACTATATATACACATTTTTATGTGTTTATATATATATATATATATATATATATATATATATATATATATATATACACACACATTTCATATTCACAGTGACTATATATACACATTTTTACGTATACACATATGTATACATGTGTGAGTATTAATTAAATACAGTCACTTGAGCAAAGTATTGACATGCTTTCCAAGATGTAATGTAGCAGTTGCAAAGGCCATTAATTGCTATTTTTTATCATTAGGAAAGCAGATCCAATAGCAAAAAATTCTTTCATTCAGTTAGCAAAACTAAACATTTCTTTCAAGATGCTTAACTCACTAATCTTAAATATAAATGTTATGCCTACAATTAAAATATGTTGCTTGTTATTTCAAAGAGACCTAAATTTTTACTGAGAAAGGCAATTAAAAGAAAAAAAATTCTTCTCAGATTTATTTGAATAGAATAGAATAGAATAACAGAGTTGGAAGGGACCTTGGAGATCTTCTAGTCCAACCCCCTGTCCAGGCAGAAAACCCTACACCACTTCAGACAAATGGTTATCCAACATCTTCTTAAAAATTTCCAATGTTGGGGCATTCACACCTTCTGCAGGCAAGTTGTTCCACTGATTAATTGTTCTAACTGTCAGAAAATTTCTACTTAGTTCTAGGTTGCTTCTCTCCTTGATTAGTTTCTACCCATTGTTTCTTGTTCTACCCTCAGGTGCTTTGAAGAATAGTTTGATTCCTTCTTCTTTGTGGCAACCCCTGAGATATTGGAACACTGCTATCATGTGACCCCTAGTCCTTCTTTTCATTAAACTAGACATACCCAGTTCCTGCAACCGTTCTTCATATGTTTTAGCCTCCAGGCCCCTAATCATCTTTGTTGCTCTTCTCTGCACTCTTTCTAGAGTCTCAACATCTTTTTTACATCGTGGTGACCAAAACTGAGTGCAATATTCCAAGTATGGCCTTACCAAGGCATTATAAAGTGGTATTAATACTTCATGTGATCTTGATTCTATTCTTCTGTTTATGCAGCCCAGAACTGTGTTGGCTTTTTTGGCAGCTGCTGCACACTGCTGGCTCATATCTAAATGGTTGTCCACTAGGACTCCAAAATCCCTCTCACAACTATTGAATAGAGGCAAAGATTCCATATATTATCTCAAGTTTTAGTATTTTAT